TTAGATGGGATTTTTTTTTTTAAATGGACAGGAAACTTTCTAGTAAACTGTCTACATCTTTCTCAACCAAATGCAATGTAAGCTAAAGAGGTAGCTTGACAAGGATTCAAGGTGCTTTGTGAGCTGTGTTGTCCCCACGTTAGCTTTCTACTGTGTCAGAAATTATCCCGGCCTTTAACAGCTTAAAATAACACGTTCTCATGTGGTGGTTTGAATGAGAACGGCCCCTAAAGGTGCGTCTGTTTGAATGCTTCGTCCTCAGGTAGTGGAACAGTTTGGGAAGGATTGGGAGGTGTGTGGAGGAAGTGTGCCACGGGCAGGATGGTGGAGGACTTTGAGGTTTCAGAAGCCCATGTCATTCCCAGTTCTCTCCCCGCCTCTCTCTCTCTGCCTTGTCCTTGTAGATAATCTAGGCTCCCAGCTCCTCCAGCGCCATGCCTCCCTGCCTGCTACTATGCTCCCTGCCATGATGGTCATGGGCTCACCCTCTAGAATCATGAGTCCCAGATGAAATGCTTTCTTTCTTAAGTTGCCTTGGTCATGGTGTTTTATCACAGCAGTAGAAAAGTAATTAAGAACATCTTATTTTCTCCCAGATTTGTATGACCAGGATTGTGGAGTTATCTAGGTATATGGTCCAGGCTCAGGGTCTCCTAGGAGGCTGTATAGAGATGTGGGCTGGGGTTGCAATCATCTAAAAGCACCTTTCGAACTGTGTGGTCCTCTTTCAGGGCAGCTGCTCACAAGATCCTGACAGAGTTGGATTCCCTCCCTGAAAGACGCCTAATAGTTCTCCTGATGAAGCATAGACAGTGAGTGCACAGACAGCTGAGCAGAAACCATGCATGAGCCTTACAACCTGCTAGTAGAGGTCACTTCATATCATCAGAGTCAGTCACTAAGTCCAGCCACACTCAGAAGGGAGGAAGGGCTTAAAGTTTCTCCTTTTTCTCTTTAAAAAAGGTTGTTGTTGTCATACTATGTATTTCGGTCATATGCACCCCAGCTCCTCCTAGAGGGACCTTCCTACTCCTCCCAACTTTGTCCTATAATATAATAATAATATAATATAATAATTTTTTAATGCATGCATATAAACATACAAATAAAACATGCTAAGTCTGTTTGGTATTTAGGGCTGATCACATGGTATTGGATAATTATTTAGAGGGCTCATTCCTGGGGAAGACTAATTCTCCTTTCTTGGTAGTCACTAATGACCTGTAGCTCCATCTAGGGGTGGGGCCTGTGAGCTTTCCCCCATCCTTATTGGCATGTCAACTGGTGATGGTATTCAGGTCTTGTTTAGGACTGTTGAGATTTCATGTGTGCAGCTTCCCTGACCTATATAGAAGATACAATCTTACAACAGAGTTCCTCTGGCTCTTAGAATCTTTCAGCCTCCTCTTCCAAGATGCTCCCCAAACCTTAGGCATTGTCAGTCAGGGCTAGTTACCCCCAGTCAAGTTGTTCTCTGCATTTGGACCAGTTATGTGGTTCTGTCACGGTCTCTATCTGCTGCAAAAAGAAGCTTCCTGGATGAGGGTCAGAGCTCTGTGGATATAAGGATAAGTATATAGAATGTAATTAGGGATTTTATTGGTTTAGAAAAGTGGCAATAGTAGCTCTCATCTAGGCCCATGCAGTAGCAAGCATGAGTTGCCTACTACTGAGAAGGAAAAAGTATCAAAGGCTTTGTGGGTATGTTTCCACATTTCCCCCTGTAGGCCTGGAGCGGTCTTGAGCTGTTCTTTGTCTATCCATCTCTTGTCCAAATTCCTTTTTTAAAAAAAAATGAGGATGTCAGGTTTATTAGATTAGAATATACCCTAATGATTTAATTTTAGTTTGATTACCTCTGTAAAGACATCATGTCCAAATAAGGTCATATGCTGAGGCCTTTGGAGGCTTCAGTTCAACCCATAAGCGATAGCATATTTATTTTCATGAGAGGCACTGCCAGATGAAGGAGAAAGCATGCAAAACTGGAAATAATAAAACGATGTTGTGAGAGGTCACTTCGCAAATCAGGAACCAGTTGAACACTAAAGATGTTAAAATGAAAGAAGCTCATATATAGCATAAGCATAAAATACACTAATCCCAAATTAAAAAAAAAAAAGCTATCACATACCCCGAGATGATCTACCATGCCATAGCAAACATTCATGCTGTTCCATTTGCCAGCCCCGTTTCCTTCTTATTTTGGTAACAATGTCTTGACTTTTCTTGGTTACTTTTGTTTTATATGGAGGAGGAATCTAATTCTATTCTCAAGTACCTTTACCTGCTGAGCCATCTTGTCAACCTACCTTCCTCCCTTCCTCCTTCCTTCCTTCCTTCTTTCTATTCCTTCCTCTCTCCCTTCCTTCCTCCCTCCTTCCCTCCCTTCTTTCCTTCCTTCCTTTGAGTGAAAAGTAAAAACAAGAAACAATCCTGGAAGATTCTTTATCTGTGGACACAACATGGGTGGAAATAATTTTTTTAAGGCCCTAAACATGTATAGACCTTTTGTTACCATCCTCCCCTACATAATACAGTATAACAAATGTATAAATTTACATCTTATCCAGCATTACGAATATTCTAGAGATATTTAAGTATACAGGAGGCAAATGCTACACTGTTATATAAATAAGGCTCTTTGAGCTCCCATGGATTTTGGTATCCAGGAAGATATCCTGGAGCAAAGGTCCTATACAGATATCAAGGGATGACTGTGATGATGAATTCAGCAATAATGTTCAAGATCTCTAGGGGTCTTAGCATTTCACATTGAGAAGCCCCTCTACCGATGCTACCAGATGTGGTACCAGATAGAATGCATGGGAACCAGAAAGAGGGCTCTGTGTGTGAAGTGCTTGTCATGTAAGCCTCATGACCTGAGTTAAATCCCCAGAACCCACATAAAAAGTGTGATCTGTGATCTTCACACTGCTGGAGTAAAATGGAAGGTGGAGACAGAAGAATCCCCTAAGCTTGTGGGCTAGCTGGCCAGGACTATGTAGCTTAGCAACACAAACAAGAGAGACCCTGCCTCAAGGCCAGGCGGACAGAGATTGCCGAAGAGTTGCTCCCTGACTCCCGTGTGCATACCATGACTCATGACCCCCCAACCGTTCTCATGCTGGTAATAAACAATTTTAGTGCACGATGCATTAGTTACTTTTCCGTTGCTGTGTTGGAACACTGACTGATGGCTAATCTTGCTAGTCAACCTGAGCACATCTGGATTCAAGGAAAACCCAAGCAGCTGGATATACCTGTGAAGGATTAGTATTGATCAGATCATTTGAAGTCGAATACCCACCCCAAACCTTATGATGGCAACCCACATAAAAGGACAGAAAGAGGAAAATTTGCTACCCTGTGCTCCTCCTGAGGGCAGTTCCTCTCTCCTGCTGTTGAGGCATTCCTTAACTGGCATTAGAACCTCCTTTGGAATCTCAACATAAACTGAAGACCAGATGAGACATCAAGAAGCTACTTGATTCTTGGCCTTTCTGTTAGTCGATAGCCATTGTTGGATTAGCAGACCATAACCTGTAAGCCACTTTAATAAATCCCCTTTTGATATATATGTGTAGATTATGTCAGTTCTTTTCCTCTAGAGAACCCTGACTAATACCATGACCGAAAGCACCTTGTGGAAGAGTGTTTGGTTTATGGTTCCAGAACGAGAGTCCTCAGAGTATCAGGAGGCGTAGTAACCAGTAGCCGTAGCGGGAAACTGAAGCGTCACATCTTTAACTCCAAACGTGAAACAGAAAGGGCAAACTGGAAGTGGGATGAGGCTGTGAACTCTCAAAGCCTGCTCCCAGTGACAGACTTCCTCCAACGAGGCTGCACCCCCTTCCCAAAGAGCATCGCCCAATGAGGACCAAGTGTTCAAGTAATTGGGCCTGTTAGAGACAGTCCTGATTTCTCAACCAATGCTACCATATATGGAACAGGGGAAATGCTGAGCAAGCACGCAGACGAAGGGATCATTTAAAAAAAGAAACATCAATGTCCTGTATCCAGATAGCACTTCTTTATGGGTGCTGCTGGATTGTCATAACTCATGGGTATGACTGTCACCTCTTTCCAAACAAGATCATGCTTAAGGAGATTAAAGAACAGTTAAAAGAAAACAAGCAAAAAACCCCACAGAATTTGCTAATAACCAAGCTTGGGCATGAAATGTGTTGGGGGAGCCATGAAAGGAGAGGGGGTAGGGAAGTGAGCAGAAAGGGGGGTAGGCGGGCAATGGGGGAGAACAAATACAACCCGAGTATCATGGATTACATAAATGAAAGTGCCACAGTGAAGTTCATTACATTTTTATTTTAATTTAAAAAGAGGAAATAAAAGAGAAGAACTGGGTGTGATGGTCAATACTAGTAACCCAAGCATCCCCCAACATAGGAGGATCACAAGTTCAAAGCCAGCATTGGGCTATAAAATGAGCTCAAAGCCCAGGCTATAAGATAGGACTCTGCTAAAAGAAAAAACAAAAACAAAAACAAAAAACCCAAACAAACAAAAATGCAAACCAAAATGAGCAAACTGAACCAAAGCAAAACAAAAACCCATGGCTTCACTGCTATCCTGAATACACAGACCCTTTCCTAGAAGTTGCCCATGGTAATAATATTAGATGTTTTTTTTCTGTGACTCATTCTGAAGTCTTTTTATTCCTTAGGGAAATCCCACAGTATTATTGTTGACCTTTAGGAGTATTTCAGTTTTGATGTTGTTCAGTTTTTATTAGACAAAAAATTTAAATGTGGTGAATACTTGCGTGGTTCTTTAAAAGTAATCAGAATTCAGAAGAATTATAAGTAAGACAGCTCCAGATTCACATGTGAATTTATTATTATTATTATTATTATTGTTGTTGTTGTTGTTGTTGTTATTTGTTTGGGGTGGAAAGGAATGAGGGGGGAAGATGTCAAAAAAATGAAGAATTCTTATTGATGAAGACTGAATGAAAATATTTATGACTGAAACATCAATAGGAGAAAGCTGTGAAGAAGCTGAGAGGGGGTCTTGTCTACACAGAGAAGGACAAGGCCTGTGGAGCTGCAGAGATGGACAACAGACAGCTGTAAGTACACATGGGCAGGAATTGTGTGTTTGTCCTAAAGGCAGGGCAAGAAGGCTGCCTCCAGCACAGAGAGCAGCAGAGGCTGTTACAGAGAATTTTTGGGAGGGAGGACATTGTTAGAATGGCAACAGAGGAAGTTGATTTTGGCAGCAGGCTTGGGAAGGACTTGAGGAGGGAAAATGTAGAAAGGAGGCTTTTCCCAAGAGGAGACAAGTCTGTACAACACACTTAGGTGGGGTCGCAGCAACAGAAAAGACTGAACGTACGAGAGTTGTGTTTTCCTCTTCATCAAACCCTGTTTTTCAGCTGTCTTCCCACTGGGTTTTGAATTCAGCTTTCATCCAGACTTACTGGTTTTCATGCTGCCAAGAGCGTGTTGTAAGATTGACTGCTTTCACCACCTGTGAGGACCTTACTCTGGGTTGGACAAGACTTGAGGGGAGCTGATCAGTTTTCAAGTGTAAAGGTCTGGGCATTCCGAACTCCAATAAGATCGGTCACACCTTGAGCTTGAAAGGGTGAAATAAAACAGCCATTGTTCCTGATGTCATTCTGTGTCGTGAGTGTATGGTGGAAGGTTGGGGTGGCATACGGCTCTCACTCAGGCTTTCTGAACAGCATTAAGCTTGTGGGAACGCGAGCTTCGGTCCTCTGAGCCCTGCTCCTCCCAGTGTTTATCCAGCGCAGTTCATTGTTGGATAAACACCTAGTAGTCTGCAAATTTTCTCTCCTTTGTGTTTTGTTTGTGTTTTGAAGCTGTTGCTAATTTCATCTCTACTGGCTGCTTTGTGTTTTTAAAACTATATCTGGACAAAATGTGAATGTTAATATGTATTTGACAGCAATGCTGGGAATTAAGATGGCAACTGTCAAGAAGAAAATAACACACACACACACACACAGTTATTTTTATGCTTGCTTTTTTTAAATCATGGAATTTAAGAAATTTAACAAACAAACATCAATACATCAAGGGTGAGACCTTTTTTACTTTCTTTCTCTTTTACATAGTGACTTTGGTTTTAGGGGCAGCGCCATTATCGTGGCAGTTTTCACTGGTGTCATGCAGGAAAAAAAATCATCTCAAGATTCCTGCTTTCTCATCCCAACTGAGGTTTTCTAGGGAAGAAGCTAGCCACTGGGTGGAGTGCCTGGCAGCCATAGATCGTGCCTCCAGACCCCGAAGCGAAGACTTTCCCCAGGAACTGTGTCCTTGATGACTAAATGCAATTGTCTAGAGGCTGAGAAAGACTGAAACACGGCCCGAGAACTCCATTGGCCTGGGTAAAATCAGTCCTCTCTCTGCTGTCATACCGCCCACAGCAGAGGGAGGGGGGAGTTGGGTGGCCAACCAGGCTGCCAGCAGCCAAGCACACTATGCCACCTGGCCCTTTCAATAAGGTGCTAAGAAATCAGCTGTAGTGCAGAAGCTCATAGTGGAGACTGGGCCCCACCTTCTCCTAAGTGACCACCGTGATGAATTCCATCAGGTCAAAGCTTTATATGACTCATGGCAAGCAGAAGTCCAAGCTACTGAAGACTCTCATCCACTCCATGCTTTGGAATCTGTGGCTATACCCTTTCCCAGGTTCTTTCAAATTGTAGTCATGCTGTCTCAAACATCCCACTTACACAGGACTAAAGGTGCTGTCCTTGCTTCTCCTTGCTGCATCTATAATTGTTCAGTGTTCTTCCTTCTTAAAAAGAAGATGCCAGGTATGGCGGTGAACACCTACAATCCCAATACTTGAGAAACTAGAGCAGAAGAATTACAAATTCCAGACTAGCAAGATCCTGTCTCAAGAAAAAAAAATAATAATAATAGTAAAAATGACTAAGGAAAAGAAAACAAAGTAACAAACAAACCCCTCAACTTCTTTGAGACACATCTTGTATCAGACATGAGTCTTTAAATCTTTATTATTGTTTGTCATGTATCCCAGTCTGGCCTCAGACTTGCTGCTTGAATGTAATGAGGCTAGATTTGAACTCCTGATCCTTCTGCCTCCACTTCCCTCTAGTTTCAGGCACAGCACCACCACACCCACCTCCACTACTCTTCTTTATGACTCATCACTCTCCTGCTAACTAGTTTTGTTTGGCCGCAGTTTTAGCATCCAGGCTTCCCTCTCTCCTCACTTCTACCCCCGTATCCTACACTTGAGGATGCTGTGCTTAGTTTCCTGAGACTGAGACATTCTAACCATTCTCTCAATCAGGGAAGCTCCTTGAACAAAGGTAAACAACTTAAGATAGCCTCAGAAAGTCCCTGAAACTGAACAAATTCACTAGGCCTCTCCCTGCAACTGTAAACAATAAAAGCTTCCTCTTGCAAGGAAGAAATCTAGCCACAAAGAAGACTCAGTTGGCAGGGGAGCTGCAAAGACTTCAAAGGAGAGAAGCTGCAAAGGAGACTCTGAGAGCAGACCAGCTGCCTGGAAGAAGCAGAAACCAGCCGAGACTCCTGGAAGAGGCTTAGACCACCTGAGGCACCTGGAAAGGACCCTCTCCAAACTGTGCAGCTGCCTGTATGCTGTGCAGTGTACTCCAGGCTCCCAGCTGTGTGGGCAGCCACCCATGCTGGGATGGCTTTAGTAACGCAGTTGTCTTTGAGTCTTTTCTGCTCCTGTAAGTAACCCATCACCCATACTCCTGTAAGTAACCTCAATAAAACTCATTGTTTCACCACTTTGGTCTGTCATGGGTTCCCTATCTGGGGTGAGGAGATTTGCATCTGTCCGGAAAAAATTTTTCACACAACACTTGGTGACTTCAGCATCCACAAAAATTATCCTTTTAGGCACCGTAGCCCCTCAGCCCCTCAGTCTTATGTCTGTTATTGCTTTTACCCATTCCATTCCAGCTAGACACCTCCATGGTCATGCACCTTAGAGAACTTCCTACCACATAACCGTATTGCCAGCAAAAATCTTGATTTCTAGAGTTCCACATTCTCTTGATGGACCACCCCTTCTTTCTCTAGCCCCACCATCACCACCCCTGGCCAACTCCTTTGACGCAGCTAGCTAATCCAGTGACCTACTGGTTCTTCCCTGACAGCATGCAGAGACCTGTGCAGTATGTTGCTGTCTTTGTCCTTTCGAGTTCATTGCAACCAGTCATTTCTTTTCACACCTCCTTAACCACCTCACCCTCTCAATTTCCATCTTACTAATTTAGAAATATGACCCTGAGTGAAATATAATTCCCACTTGTTTCCCAGAAGCAGTGAACAGTTGAACATGGCCAGAGGATTAGGGGCAAAAATGATTTAGCCCTGTTCTTTTCCACTGTCTGAGATTTCACAGATTCTTAACTTGCTTCAAATTCAGCTATTCCTACCTCCGGTCATTATTTTTGATAATGGCCTCCCTTCTCATTTAAGGAAGCAGAGTGTCTAGAAGGAAACGGTATCATGTTTCCTGTGATCCCCCAGTCTCCTGGCATCTGATACTATGCACATTTCCTCTTGTCTTTGCATACACCCTCAGTGCTATCCCTGAAGCCAGCATCTGTATGTGGGCATCACATCTGTCCTTTTGGCTCCACACCTGCTAGAACCCAGCAATGTCCTAGTTTATATGATGTTTCCTGGAGATAAATTATCCGTGGGGCTCTTCATTCAGTGTGTCATTTTGCTCCTCCTTTTCATTGAAACAGTGTATTAAACTGTCTGTTGTTTCTGCCTCAGCTCAGCTGACTTCATCTTCAGCCTTCCAGCATTTGTTCTCACTCAGGCCATTGCATCACCGCAGCAAGTTGGATGCAGGAATGGACTATTTCTCCAAGACCACTCCTATTAAGCTCCAACAGAAGCCTGTCTTGGCTGAATGAGGATGGCCAAGTATCAGCTCTCATCCTGCTTGGCCTCTTAGCAGCATCCAATTGGATCATTGTTTCTTCCCAAACCATTTTACTTCTAGATCATTGCTCTTCTTTGCTTCTTGTACTTCATGGCCAGTCTTTCGAGACCCTTAAATGTTAGAATGCAGTAGTCTCAGTGTTCGGCCTACACTCTCTTTCCCTCCCTCCACCCTCCATCTTCTGCCTCCTACACTCCTCCTTTTCTTCTTCTTGTTCTTGTTCTTGTTCTTGTTCTTCTTCCTCTTCCTCCTCTTCCTCCTCTTCCCCTTCCCCTCCTCCTTCTTCTTTTGACTGTCTCAGGTATCCTAGCTGGCCCTGACATAGAGTTAAGGATGACTTTGAATTCTGGTCCTCCTGCCTCTCCCTCCCGAGATCTGGGGTTAAAGGTGTGTACGGCCATGGCTATTTTATATGGTACTTAGGATCAAACCCAGGGCCTTGTTCACACAAGACAGACATCCTACCAACTGAGCTCCACCCCTAGCTTGAGCCTTTTCTTTATCTGAGCCACTTACGTTTGTTCCCATGATGCTCTCGTGTAACGGCCACAGCTTCCAGTGCCATATATACACTGAGCCTCCCAGGTTATATTTCTGGCATGAACCATTCCTCAGAGCTTTGGACTCAAGGTCCAGCTCCCACTTGATGATTTGTAGACTATGTCTGTTTGGCACTTCAGCCTTGACTGTTGATTTTCTTTCACAAATTGTTCCTTCCCATGCATTCTCAGTGATTTGGGCTTACATTCTACTCTATTGGCTTGGGCACTGTACTCCTCTCTTTCCCTCAATCCATCCACATGTCCTGTTAGATTAATGTATCCAGAGCCATTAAAATGTCACCTCCTTCATTGTGACAGATCACCTCCAGGAGAGCAATGCTTTCTCCAGTCTTTTGTGTTATTGTTCTCACTGGTCTGTTTGGTTCATAGTGTTCATTCCCCACTGAGAAGGCAGAATGATATTATTAAATTGCTAAGTCATATCTTCTCATGCAGCAGAGGAAATCTCTACAATAGTTTCCTACTGTATCGCAAATACAAACCAAATTTTTGCCTATATTTTCAAGGCTCCAGTGAGCTGGCCCGTTCTTCCGACCTCATCACCACACCTCTTTTGCTCCTTAGTCTGACTTAAGCTTGAGTTCCAACCACAGTGGAAAAATGGGGCTTTTAAAGAATCTGAGTGTGCTTTTAGGATAAGCAAAAACATAGTGACCTGGCTCCAGTGGACCTATCAGTACAATCAAATTGAATTTATTATGGTTGATACTTCTCTCTTTGTGGATTGGGCTGTGAGAAGGATGTGAATTCCATGGACATGGCAGAATCTCACATTGTATGTATAATTTTTTGGTTGTTGCTGGCTCTAGTTATCTTTCATCCAGTCTGCTCTGGTTTGGGTTAATTATGCCACAATGTGTTTCTTTTTCTCCCACAGGTTGTATGAGGAAGACATTGTTCTTATGATTAATATATTAACAAGCACTATCACCAGGCTGGCCTCAGACTCAGAAATCTGCCTGCTTTTGTCTTCCAAGTGCTGGGATTAAAGGCATGCACCACCACCACCTGGCTTTGGGTATTTTGTAATAAACCCCGGATTCTACTTCTTTATCTCTTTTGTGGAAAAACGAAGACTCCATGCATCCTTCTCCCACTCTCTTACTTTTCTTATTCTCACTCCTCCAAAACCTAAATGCCTGTGCTTCCAATCTACTTAGACTCTAAACGACCTGGGGGTGGAGTTATGGCTCCGTTCACAGAAACTAGAACATTTGTTGGCAAGCAATTGATGCTGAAAAATAAATGTGGAATAAGAACATAAATGACAAGTAAAATTCCCAGAATTGCTATCAGAATCTTAAGACTTAATAAGGAAAACCCAATCTTTGTAGAAATAGACTTATGCCGTAAGAAAGGGTTGTTTTGCCTAGAAAGTTCAGTAACTCTCCTTAGGAAGCATCCCAGTGGTGGGCAATATGTTAGAGGTGGAATTTACCACCATCCTGTCCATTGCTGTGGGTCTTGGCTTTAACTTTACAGGTCTCAAATGTGTTTATCATCATGCTAATAACAGAAGATCCAGTTCTTAGGACTGTCTTGATGAACTGGAATTTGTAATAATGGTGTGTAAACCAGAATGCCAAGTTATTGGTTTATAATGAGAACCCAAATCCTCCCAGGAATCGGCATGTGTGAAGTCTGTATAATTAGTCCCTGCCTGTAGGTAGGCTTTATAAGAAGCTAAATCAGATAATCGAGGTGCTTGCCAAGCAGGGATTGGAGACGTACCACAGCACGGTGATTAAGACACAGGCAGGCCTAACTTCAGATCCCGAGTCTGCCACTGACTTCCTGTAAAATGGGAGTAATAATAGTCCCAACTTGTGGCAGGTGGCTTTGGGGATGTATCTGAGGCCACACAAGTTTGACTCTAAGAATAACTACCTTCCCTGCTTCTCTCTTTCCTGTAAATCTAGTGCCCCGGTTTTATATTGGGACCTTGCACTACCATTCACAAGGAGAGCTAAGGCTAGACTCCTAATTTATGTAGGAGCCATCAGATTCTCTTTCACAGGAGTTTGTGATTTGTTTATTTGGTTTTAATTAGTTAATTAAATTTATTTTTCAGTGCTGGGGATTGAATTTTGGGCCTCACTCATCTTAGGAAGGGCTCTACCACTGAGCTATACTGCAAACCCAGAGCTTAAAATTTAGAAACAGTTCAGCCTCATCTGTTTGCCTGGATAAGTTGATGGGAGCTTGGGGCCAGCGGTTGTCTCTGCAGAGAAATGATACCCATCCAGGAACTTCCATTTATTTGAGGCTGGGTTGGCAGAGAAGAAGAGAGATCAATGAAACAGAATCATCCAGACCAGCAGAGACTGAGACCATGGCAACGGGAGAGACAGCTTGGTTAGCACCTGTCACCAATCCTGTTCCAAGCCCTTCAGAGGCTCATCAGTTTCCCTCCTGATTGAGACAGCTCTGTGTTCTCGCATGAAGTGTCCCTTCTTACTTAAGCTAACCACACTCAGTTTTTGGCATTTTCAAAACAAGAGGTTTGGACAACAGCCCTATATGATATTTTAAAGTTAGTAGATGGCTGTAGAACACAGGTGATACCTTTAGAAGGCAGGTGACACCTATAGAACACAAGCGATACCCATAGAACACAAGCAACACATTTGGAACACAGGTGATAATCTTCCTGCTACTGGGATGATTGATTGACGTTTTCAATCAAGACATCTTAAGGGCCCCTAAGGGTTTGTATGAAGGTGACCAGAAGTATTCTGTGACTTTAAAAAAGAATCTCTGCCTAACTGGTCAATCATCTCCTTTTTGATGGACATAACTGCCTTCTGATACAGCCGCACGCTTTTCAGACACAGGGTGGGGGGCGATTCTGTTTCCGTGGTGATTGGATTTCTCTGTGCTGGCTTTACAATAAATCTAAGATGATCTTTCGACCTCTCATTCCCATAACCCTTAAAGACACTCCAATATGATCCTTATATCATGAGGTTATGGTACAATTACCCCATGCACTCAGGATGCCAAGAGCTCTGTGTCCTATTCTTACTGTCCTTGACTTCATTCTGAGACTCACAGGGCCACTTACCGGGTTGCAGGCAGACTTTTCTATCTCCCCAGTTACCCTCAGAGCTACCGTTGTTAAATACTACTACCTTACTTTCTTGAATTCTCCATTAACCTTCTTGGATCCCACTCCGCTGAGACTTCTGAGGCAGGCAAGGGCATTAGGGAATAGCATTTGGACCAGTTTGATTAAAATACCAGAAAATAGTGGAGGATTGTGCTGGAATAGGCTGTGGTCTGCGGTGTAATTCCCATCAAACAACACCAATACCAGGACCCCTTGCAAGAACTCAGCAGTGACTTCTGCCTCCATTCTGCTGGCCACCAAGAGCCACCGCTTTCATATCGGCAGTGCCACTTAGGTGGCATTTTCTTGGTGTCGTGACATTTTCACTGCTTTTTACTGGAAGCTCTTTAGTCACAAGTTCTTCAGTGTGAAGGACACTTCTGATGTCAATACCGTTTTGGAGGCTAG